GGGGATTTTTTTTTTTAAAAAAAAGAAAGTTTACTGTAGAATTAATTTCTTTTTTAAAAAATGGTAAACTCGTAAGAGATGAGAAAAGAGTAACAAAACTTCAAAGACTACAAAAATCCAGCACAGATAATCAAACTGTGAGCTGTGACATTTGAGTAGAGAAAGTGCTATTCTTAAAAACAAGACATGATAACTCCACACAGAAAACCAATATATTACAGAAAAGAACTAGAGTGGTAATAACCGGATCCTCTTCTGGGGATTTCCTGAGTCTTATCTCAAATGAACTTCTCTGGACTAAAGGGACCAATTGACACTTCTGATTATGCTTTGCAGACATAACCCATGACACCCCTTGCACTTCATAATACATGTTTTGAGTAGTGATGACTTCGAAGGCCCAAGCCTCAAAGGGCATATGGGGAGTAAAAGTCTAGAGATCCCAATCACAATGGGTTAAAGCACTGAGTCCCCACAAAGAAAATTAAAGACTTACAGCCTAGCCAGGTCATCATGTCAAGGGCTTCCAAAGGAGACAAACTTTTGAGTGACCTGGGTTACAAGCTGGGCCAAACCTTGGGAGAAGGAAGCTATTCCAAGGTAAGAGTGGCCACCTCAGCCAAATACAAAGGGCCGCTAGCAATCAAAATGGTGGACCGACGTCGAGCGCCCCGGGATTTTGTGGAAAAGTTTCTACCGCGGGAACTCTCCATTCTGCGAGGGATCCGGCACCCACACATTGTAAGAGTGTATGAATTCATTGAAGTTTGCAACGGGACTCTCTACATCGTGATGGAAGCTGCGTCCACAGACTTGCTACAAATGGTACAACAAGCGGGGAAATTACCCTGCGCCCCTGAAGCGCGAGACATCTTTGCCCAAGTTGTGGGTGCCGTGCGCTACCTCCACGACAGGCATTTGGTGCACCGGGATCTGAAGTGTGAGAATGTGTTGCTTACTTCAGACGGCCGTCGAGCAAAATTGACCGACTTTGGTTTTGGCAAGGAATCGCGTGGATACCCTGAGCTGAGTACTACCTACTGTGGATCAGCTGCGTACGCGTCCCCAGAAGTGCTGATGGGTATCCCCTACGATCCAAAGAAGTACGATATATGGAGCTTGGGCGTAATGCTCTATGTGATGATTACTGGCTGCATGCCTTTTGATGACACGCACATTCACAGCATGCCCTGCCGCCAGAAGAAAGGGGTCATGTTCCCTGAAGATCTGCCTTGTCTGTCTGAGCCCTGCAAGGCTCTCATTAGGCAGCTGCTCCAGTTCACTCCGGAATCCCGACCCGGCGTGGGACTCGTATCCAAGAACAGCTGGCTGAAAGGGGAAGCTTAAATTGGGGGTCCTTCCCTACCTTGCCAATTGCGTGATGCAGCCAGTTTTATCTACTGCAGGCAACTGTTTCAAGAGGAATCATGGGGAGGAAAAAAAAATGGAAACTACGTCACTGTGGAAAAAGATTTCTGGGATATTGACTAGGGGAAGTAAGAGGGCAAATTGCTTTAGAGGGGGGGAAAAACCAATTCAAATATAGGTTCCTCTGAAATTAAAGGGACTTACTTCCTAACTAATGTATTCCTGATTGGATGCAGTGAGTTCTTTTAAACTCTCTTTTATACATTAGCTCTCATTCTGTATTTGTCTGTATTTCTTTCATGGTTTCTGAAATGGAGAGCAAGTTTCCTATGCCTAACTCAAGTTTGGGGAATGTGTTTTGTGGGATAAAAGGAAAAGTGTTGCCCAGGCAAATTATTCTACCCATACATAGTAACGGTAGTAGTAACTGTACTACTGTAGTAGTAACTGTGAGAGGGATCTTGGAGTCCTAGTGGACAGCCATTTAAATATGAGCCAGCAGTGTGCAGCAGCTGCCAAAAAGCCAACACAGTTATAGGCTGCATAAACAGAGGGATAGAATCAAGATCGCATGAAGTGTTACAGAGGTGGGTTCCCACCAGTTCACACCTATTCGGTAGAACCAGTTCGTCAAATCTACCGAACCGGTTAGAAGAGGTTCCACCA